GTGCCTTGAGATGACATTTGTTGTGAATTGGCGCTATATAAATAAACTGATTTGAATATATACCAATAAGTCTTTACGTAATTATGTGAGAGTTTTGTTTTATACACCATGTAATGCATTATTGTAACAACAGAGTTTTAAAATGTTTTTTTCTTTGGAAACAAAATCTTGAAATGGTCCTCCTTAGACAAATAACCTAAGTAAAATCTGGTAGAACCATATTCCATGAGAAGGCACATACTTAATGCATTGACATATATTTTCAGTATGAATACCAATATGAAACATTGTAGTAATAAGATGCTATAGACAATAGAGATGTTTGTAACTCAAGCAGGTTGCTACACAGAGCTGATGGGAATAGGGATAATGTTAAAAACTGTACATTGTCAGAAGAAAACCTTACAGGCATGAAAACACTTGAGACTTGGAAGGAACAAAACACTAAATAGGTTAAGCATGAGCGATTCTACAGGAATAGGCAAAAATAAAAAAATAAATATGTTAATATTATATATTACACCTGTAATAATATTTACAAGCATGCTTAGTGTGAGGGATTGTATTTGAGTCAATGCAATCAACTGGTTTTCCTTAGATAGAAAACCTTGTATCAATTTGACTGTATGATCTGGTTGAACTGTAAAGTGCCTTGAGATGACATGTGTTGTGAATTTGGCGCTATATAAATAAACTGAATTGAATTGAATATCCTGTATAGCACTTCTGGATAGATGCAAACCACATTTTGTTGCTTTGTACTCGTGACAGTGTAATGACAACAAAGTTGAATTCTATTCTATTCTATTATGAGACAGCTATAATTTCAAGTATTGGATAACCATGCATACGTTTTATGCACCACTTTTTGTAGGTATGTCACACACAAAAAGAAAATTGAATATGACAAATTTTAGCTCTTTAATATAGCAGAATAAAAAAAACAATGTTTATTTTTTCTCTCAAAGCCCTATGCCTTCATCACTTAGAAGAATTAAACTAGTTAATCTAGTTTGCCTAAACAGTTAGAACTAGCTGGCTTGAGTGTTACAACATTGCTGTATGTCTCCAAACAGCTGTGTTCAGTGAAGGAAATTGATGTGGAGTTTGAAAGGCAAAAAATGTGAACCCTAAATATGGCTATGATTGCTTAACCATCCAGATGCCTGCTCTTTCTGACCCTGAGTTGCAATGCCACAATATGTTTAAAGACTATGATGGGGACCTTTGCCGTTAGCTCAGATTCAATATGTGGCATGCTACAAAAGAGTGCTTGTTTTTCTACTAACAGTTATCGGTAGAAAAAATAGCATTTAGCTAATGATCTATGTATACACTGAGTTTATTCATGCAGTCACTATTATGCTCTTATGTCAGTTTACATCAGCAAACATGGATGTCATGAGCAGAGCATCCCTAAGTTCTTATTTTACTAATTGACCTAGTTTTGCCTGATGTGGTCTGTAAATAAGCTGCACATTAAAATCAGCCTTGTGTGCCCTGGATATCCCTGTGCTAATTCAGGATCAGTCATTGTTATAAAAAAAAAACTGAACTTCTGCCATTTTTTCTGAAAATATTGCAAAAAATCTATCGATATTGTTGGGTAACCTTAACAGGTTGTTATGACTTAGACTTAAACATATTTTATTTTGTAATTTTGTACACACAAGTGCATACAAAAAGAAATTTTGTTTTAGTACAGCTCTTTAGACTTTTTAATTTTTTAAAGTGCAGCCTTGATAAAGGTAAACAGATAAAAAACACTGTTATGCACTCCTTTATTCATTCTTTGGATTAGGAAAAAAAGGAAAAACAAGTCACATGGAGTTGTGGTGACAGTTGTGTAATTTTGTGTATCATAGATTTGCCACATCTTTTATCCAGAGAGTCCACGGTTTTTAATCTTGTCATAAAGTTGTGGACTTACCAAACTTTAATGTTTATCATGTGGGAGTTTTAAAAATAGCTTAGGGTTTGGGTGGATGACTGAGAATCTTCATCAGCATATTGCACTCCACTTTGGGAAAGACACCCTCGGAATAATGCGTGAGTTGGATGACTGAGAATCTTCATCAGCTTAGGGTTTGTAGACCTTCTTCTATCTCCTATTCAACTTAAAGCCAATTATGAAACATCTTATGCATACAACACCAGATAGTATGTTAAGCATTGAGTAGAACCAAAATGCAAGTGACTCAATAATCTGCCCTAATGTTTCTTGGTGTTTGTCCGTTATGAGAAACTGGATCCCCTCTGTGCAAACATGACTGCTTAGCACTCTAAAACACACGCCACACTTGCACAGTATATACCTTACTTACCGGTACGTTTTTTACTTAACAATATTGGACAATCTCACCTCTTCTCTTGCCATCCACATTTAACATGTTTGTGTGTTTGCAGGATTACGGACAACAGCTGTGAAGCATGCTGTTTTGCAGGTTGTGGCCTGTTTAACCTGTCCTTTACCTAGAAATCCACTCCTTTAAAAAATCTCTTTCCTGAAAATAAGAGTGACTTTTTTCAATGATTGTGTGTATTGCATGTAAATTCTGGTAAAGCAAAGTGCACAATTTATCTTTTTTTTTTTTTCCGTGATTACTAATTGAAATTGAAAACATTTAAAATAAGATTACCATATTTGTGCATGGTGAATTTTTTACAATCCGTCCACTGGAAAAAAAATATTAACGGGTGCCTTTCTAAAGAGATGTGGAGTACAATAAATTAACATCAAATTGTGTTCCAAAAAATCAGGGGTTGTGATTAAATTCGATCAAATTAGTAGCAGATGTTCTCCATTTCTGCAGAATCTTTAGTCAAATATTTTTATTGTTTGTTCATGTTTTACCTGTGCAGTCAGTATGAACTCAGCATCCATACACAAACATAGACTGAAATAACAAATCAGTCAAGCTGAAAAGCTGTAGGAAAGTGGTCAAAACTAGAAAGATGGGGATAATAATGGATGTTTATGAGGCAAACCAAATTACAGCAATACCAGCTATAGTACTGCAAAAGAGTATTTACTGTCTTACAGATTTCTTTGGATTTTCTTTTCCAAAATTGCTTGAGATAAAAAAAATAAATAAATAAAAAAAATCAAATCAAATCTTGATATCAGCATAATCTCACTTCAGTAAATGCAAAAAGCAGTTTAGAAATCATGATGTTATCTACTGAGGGTAAAAAAGCTACCGAAACCCATCTGGACATAATGTGAAAATTTGATTTTCCCACCTTCCTAAAATCATTAGCTAAGTTAATTAACCACACTCTTGTGAACAATGTGTGTTTTTTCAGTAGTTAAACTCCCAAGGCAGAAAAAAAAAATTATAATGAGCAAAGAAGAAAATTATGAAAAAAATGCTTGATTTATAAAAAAAAAAAAAAAAAAAAAACAGGGTGGGACGATGTGCTGTTTATTTTAATCCAATATCCTATCTTCCAGGGATCCAAGGACACAAGAAAGGGATTGATTTCTGGGAGATAAATCTCTTTTTCTTTTCTTTTCCCTTTCACTTTGTCCCCCAGGCAGCTATACTAACTGCATTTCTGAATAGGCTGCATACCAAGTTTTCAATGAAAGGGACAACCACATCTACCCCTTTATGCATCCTGGTGCTTGGCAGCTGCATCAAATTTATTCTATCTCACTAATCAAAAATTCAACCCCTTCCAAAATCTAAAGAAAAATACATTTAAAAAAAATTTCATTTTTAAAATACACAAAAAATATTATTATTGCTTTATGAATACATTAGTGTGAGTCACGGCAGACCAATTTTCAGTAACACTGTAGCTGAAACAAGTATAAAATCTTTGAATGTTAATAGGTTAATAATATGGTCTTCTTTTGCTCATGCCTTAAACAACTTTTAGCTGGGCTGGGATCATTTTACTTAAAATGGACTTCATGATCACAGCGATTGTTCTGTCGCCATTCCTAACCTCTCATCTGTACACCCTAAAACCAACCTAATAAAAAATAATTCAGGTATAGATCAGTTAACCTGTAGTCGGTAGACTGGGGATAATGTCAGACTATTCTGCAAAGCATCGTGTAGCATGCTGACAATTCATTAATTTTATTTAACTTTTCTCCACAAGCTCTTTAGTTGTTCTTTGTGATAGCATGTTTGCAGTCAATGTACTAACTGTGGTTTTAAGTGATGTTATTCTCTTTGTAATATATTTGTTTCATTTCATCTGCAGGATACTATTTGTGTTGTTGGCATTTGAGGTGGAGTTTTGTGTTTATTGTAGTTTCTGTTACACAGCCACTCTAACATCTATCGTCTTTCTAGGAAATGCCAAATAGTAGGGTTTATACTAACAAATATGTTTTGTAATGCACTAACATGAATGTAATCCGTTGTTATTGTTAAACCTTCACCAGACTAATAAATAACACCAGATTCTTTGCACATTTGTACAAATATTATCGGTTTTGCTCTCAATTTTCCTTTTTATTGGATCTGACATAATTCTTTAGCTGTAATGACGCCATTACTTGGCTGATCAATCAATTAGAGTATTGGAATTGACGGTGGGCAGGTCTGGCCCTTTATTTCAGTAGCGTCTGATTGAAGCAAACTGCATTTGCTACATCTTAAAGGGGTACCACTTTATATTGAAGCACTTCCTGAAAGCAGAAACAGTTTCAAAGAAATTTGTGACCACTATTCTAATGTTGAAGTGGTTCTGTCCAAATGAGATCCGGCTATTTGCTGTTTTTGATGCAGCATATTTTTGATTCCTGTAAAGACTGATTCATTTTGTGTAATTTTTTTATTTTTTATTTATATTCCAGTGTGTTTCAGAGAAAAGGCATTTTACTTTCATCGTGGAAATACTTACTTGTCTTCTTTAACCCCTTTCAAAAAAAAAATCCTTTTAAGCTTTCATAGAGCTTCTTAGAACAGATATTCTAATATGAATGGAACAAAGTCAGCAAAATCCCCCCAGCCTTCTCTCTTAATAATCAGGTCCAACTCTTTAAGAAAAAGAGAATTGCCATTTTTTATTGTATTCATGTACATTATGAACTACAATCTCAGGTATCAATAATGAACATCATCCTTAATGAAATTATTTGGACTCCGTACAAGCACTCTTTTTTTCTGGTTTTTGTTTTGTCTTTTTTTTTTTTTTTTAACAACTTGGAGCACATGTAAAATTATGATCTGAAGATCTTTTTTTTTGCATTATGCTTTGAAAATACTTTTTTTTTTCTGTAGAAATTTAGCCATGTGATGATTATCCTCTCCGAAAAATGAGAGAGAATGTCCCCACATATGATAACTCCCTCTATATATGGACAAGTGGCAGAATAACACACAAGAATTTGATCACCTTGGCAGGGGGTTTGCACAAAAAACAAACTCGGTCTGCTGGTATGTCGAGTCCAACATTCTGCTCGACAGTCTAGACTCAATTCCCTCCAGCAATCAAATATCTTTCTAGATAAGCTATCCTGCCAAAAGCAACTACCAATACACAGATATTCCATTCATTCTTAAAAATCACAAGCTTCAAATATATATAAAAATGTTTTACCTTTTTTAACTGTAGCCAGCATCAACACTGAATCATTAATCCACCAAAAGCATTGAAAAGGAAGTGAGCATTTGGAAAAAGGAAAAGAGTGAAAAGGGAAAGAATGGTTTATTCATTGTCTTTAACATTAATTGCGCTATTTTTTGTCATCTATTGTGAAGAGCCGCAGTTGACAGTTCCTGGTTTAGCTGCAAAAGCCTGACTTGCATTTTACCTGTCTGGAGTGCCTTTCAAAACAAACGATGAAATATGTACTTCTGCTTTTGTTGCTAATATAGTAGTGTAAAACCCATAGACATGCAGTCAACAAGCACAAAAATATCTCTACAGTCGGTATATAGAAATTTAAATTCATTTAATTCAACTAATATAATGGGAAAGCATTTAATACCATCACAGAGCTAAAACACCTATTATTGTATACCAGCTTTTTGGCTCATTTAACTCGAGTTTTTGACCATTTATGATTTAGGATAGGCTCCGAGTCTTCCAAGGCCTCCTTTTTATTAAGGGGTTCGAGTAAGATCTACTGTTAGATCAGTTCAAAATATTTATTACTTCCGAAAAAAAAATTTAATTATCCTCAGTCTAACTGTGCCCATGGCATAATTAACTGCACTTCTTTGAAAAAGTACTAGAAAATGTTAAACTTGTGGGTCAATGGTGGTGGCGATCAAGGATTTTGTATCTATTCTGATGCAATTTGTATGAAAAGTATGCTAAAAACACTACAAGCCAGATTTTGTTTATCAGTATAATGTGCCATGTGTGTCAAATCCCACGAAACCTATTTGTAAATAGACATTCCATTAAGCCAGTTTTGTTAATACCTGGCCCAAACTGTGAATTTGCCATTGGGAAATTAAAATATTCTTGTTGCACAGAGACCAAAGCAAAAGGCATGTCTACCTCTTCTTACATTCCACATAAGGTCACTGTTTCCATGGTGACAAGCTGATGGCTAGTTTGCCTCCTTATTTATCTATTTTCCTACTTCGCCCCCATCATATGTGCAATATCTTTGTTTGAAGACCTTTTCATGACCACTGTTCATATGAAGCCCCTTATGACTACTTGCTTCTTGCTTCTAGCCCAACCACTACTCTTTACTTTCACTGCTATTATCCTTCTCTTTAAGACCCCTTTTTTGAAGACTAAATGAAAACCCCAGAATGTAAATAGACAGGAGGAGAGACAATGTTTTGATGGCTTATAAATGGTGCAACATTAAAGAGTCTAGGAGTTTTTCCTCTACATAAGATGAAACTGAGCAGGGGTTGTGTCAATATCAAAGCCCTCTACCCTCTGTAAGATGTCAGGCACAAAGTCTCATGCTGTTTTCTTATCAGCTTTCCTCTATTAGTCTTGAAATGAACTGCTGATACAGATTGATGAGATTGATGAGCTATAACACAACTTTTCTTAGTTTGTTACAGATTCCGAGCTGCTTCACTGATTAAAGTAGCCCTGTGTGTCTGACAGGGTCACACTACATTACAAACTAGACTCATTTGCCTTTTTATCTGAACAAACAGATGGACTATCAGCGCCTGAGCTCCTGTGACCCTGGGGTGACGGCAAGGTGGCGCGACACCGCGTGGACGTAAATCATTACCAGGTTAACAGGGAGGCTGCAGAGCACAACCTTATGCTACCCTTCATTTTCCTAAGAAATATCCTGCCATTGTGAGGCACACATTTGCAGACAAAGCAAGACAAATGAAAAATGAAACGAGTGAAGAACATGTTTAGCTCCTGGATAAAAAGGCAATCCCACCAACTAAAGGAGTGAAAAACAGGGCAAATGTTGACCTGAATTTTGTGTAATTTTGAGATAGAAGAGAGGAGGAACAGAAGGAAAATGATTAAGGGTAAGAAGTCTCGAAAAATGTGAGGAGGTAGAGTGGGAGCAGACCTTAATCTTAATTAAAGCAAAGGATGTATGGCTGTTGTTTAGGAGCCACAGGGGAAATGCACATTTACTCATTTGGCAGCTTTGCTCTGTGGGCATGCTGGTTCCACGGTGATATAAACTAGAGCTGTGTCATTAAAAGATCTAATCTTGTTGTGAGTGACAGCTGGAATATGGTAGTTAGAAAAATATCCCAGCAGTTCTTTTGCTAAATGTCTCATACTGTAAGTGTCTTCAGTTTTGGACACGGCAATGCCCTTCGATGAATTAACAAGTTAATGGAATTAGAAAGATGTCAACATGAGGTCAAAACCTGCAGAGATTTTCCCAATCTGCAATTAATACAGATAAGATTTACCTGCAATAAACCATTCTTTCCCTTGAGCAGTATTACACAGAGTGAGAGAAAAAATGAGCTAAAAAGCTATCACAAATTGTTTTGTTTTTTTTTTTCATTTAGCCACTAGACATTTTTAATAAATAGCTTTTGTTTTTGTAAAGACCCTTTTTAAAGTTTTAAGTCGTCCCTTTGCCAGACAAGATGGTTAAGTGCCATCAAGATCAGCTGTCAAATCAACTGCATTTTATTTCTTTTATTTTTATGTTTTGGTCCACTGTACTCCAGTTCTAGACTTATATTACTGAATATATAGTCAATCTCAAGGTCAGATTTGGGTTTCTTGGACATTGTCTTTTGAACAAGCTTGAATCAGCAAAGGTTCCTGTGTGGCCGAGCTGTGTATGGTACTGAGCATAGGAGCGTGGTGATAAGTGCTCTTGTAGGTGTTGTAGTGGTTGTAATGCTCCAGTGGGGGGAGCGACAAGTGTCTCTCCATAGCAGCAACACCTGCAAGCTCTTCTTCGACAGTAATGACTTCCATGGAGGAGGCAGGACCATCAGGATCCTGTTGGTTATGCTGCTTCCTCATCTTATAAAAAATAACCAGCAGAACAGCAGCCATGAGTGTAATGGCTACAAAACATCCAATGATTATCTTGGTGGTTTTCATCACCTCATCTAGACCATTGAGGGCTCCTTCTCCATCAACATCGATAACTGGTATGGTGTAAGTCCGCTCTGTGGTCCTTGTTGAAATAGGCACACCCTTTGTAGTTGAGGATGGCATCCATTCGATTGGGGGAAATGTAGTTTGGCTGTCTTCCACAATGGTCTCAATGGTCTCCACAGTGACTGTGGTAAAATAGGTAACTCCATTGTTATCAACAGATGTGACATTAAGGACTGCAGATGCAGTAATGTTTCCTGCTGTGTTGCTAACCATACAGGTGTAAGTCCCAGTGTCCTGCATTGTCACACTTGTAAAATTTAGTGTCCCATCATTGAGCACAGACAACCGTACCTTATAAGCCCCATGTGTTATCAAAGAGCCATTTGGGGTGAGCCAGCTTATGGATGTCAATGAGCTTGTACGACATTTGAGTTCCGCACCCATACCTTCTGTCACATTTAAATCACTGGGTGGCTCTACAATAACAGGAACATCACACTGGAAGTAGCTGTGGTCCAGTTCACCAATATATCGACCTTTAAAAGCTGAAGGAGAATGGCAACGAGCACAGCAACTGGTATTGGCAGGCACCGTTTCCTTAAGCCACCAACTGAGCCACAAAATATCACAGTTGCAGCTCCAAGGGTTGTGGTGGAGGTGCACTCTTTCCAGATGGTGCAACGGTGTAAAGAGGTCATGTGGCAGAAATGTCAGGTTATTGTGAGCAAGGTTGAGCTCCACCAGTGACTGAAGATCATCAAAGGAGTTTCTCTCTATAGTTTGGATCTGGGCATGCATCATCCAGAGCTTCTGAAGGTTCACTAAACCTGTAAAGGAACTGGGTTTAATGACAGTCAACTGGTTTCCTGACATTTCTAACTCTTCTAGCCTAACCAAGGGTAATATGTTAGGGATCTCTTTAAGGTTACACATTCCCAAATTTAGGTAGCGCAAGTTGGTCAAGTCCTTGAAAGCTCCATCAGAAATGTAGGAGAGACGCTTGAGCTCCCCCAGATCTAGCCTGCGAAGTGAAGGAACCCGGTTGAAGGCATAAGATGGTATACTTTCAATGGGGTTGTTACGTAGCCACAGTTCTTTAAGTTTGGACAAGTACTCGAATGCTCCGTTGGGAATTGTCGTAAGTCGATTATCAAAGAGTTCTAAGGTATTTAGACTTGCCAACCCATTGAAAGCACCGATTTCAATGCTGCGGATATGATTCTTGCTCAGTTGCAGAATCTCAAGGTGGCGTAGATGCTTGAAACTATCTACCTTGATGACTTGAATTAGATTATCCTGAAGGTTCAGGTAACGGGTGTTGGTAGAAATGCCATCTGGGACATCCCGTAGACCTCGGCGTGTGCAGATTACTTTGCTGAACTGGTTACTACATGAGCAGACAGAGGGACAGGTCTGAGCACGAACTAGCCCAGCCACCACCAGTATCTGAAGAGCCAAAAGAACCACAAAAAGGGGGTTGGACAGCGCCCCCTTCAGCCTACGACCTCTCATTGTCTGGCGTTCGAGGGAGTAGATCATTGTGTTCCGCATTCATAGTTCATCTGTCGTTAGGCTTACCTGAGAATAGAAAAGAAGAGAAAAAGAAAACATATTCAATAAACATTGAAAGAAGACCAGTGCTGGTGATGTATTTATCCAGGAAACATAGCTATATTTATTTGGGCAAATTATTATTTGCTTGTTTGGGCTTTATCATTAGATGTATTTGCTTAAAGATTCAAAGGGAACGTTTTTTCAAAAACTAAAGTATAGAATTTAGTAATAATCTCAGTTTTTATTAATAATTGTTAATATTTAAAGAATATTTAATTACAAACTGCTATATTGTATAAAATTCTTAATAAATTAAATGAAAAATTTTATTTTTTTAAATAAAGAAACAATAAATCTGCAAAAACCAAAAGCTATTTTAAAATCAATTGCACAAAAAATACAACCATGCCTCAGGTGACTTCAACGTGAATTTTACAATCTGTAGAACTTGGAAGTTTTTTGTTTGTTTGATATTTCTCCCACTAAGTGTGGCTGCTGACAAATTGCAAAGAGTAAATTATCTGTGCCTAAAGAAAATCCTTTACAAACATTTCCATCAGAAGGAAAAAAAATACTCTCAGGCTGAAGGCTAAAAAGCTATTCAAGCAAAGAATGTCTTAACAATGTACTGTTTTTACTAGCCGAATAGAAAAAAAAACCTCCTATACTCATCTTATTACCTTTTTGGTTTCTTTAATGATTGATTATACGCATTCTTTTAAACAAAAAAGTCCAGTTGTACATTACTATCTATTTATTTCTGTTTTGAATCCAAAAACGACTTGTTTTTTCACAACTGGAAGACAGGATATTGTTTCTATCCAGATATTAGATTTTATATATGAAATTAAGGTAGGGTAGCATTAAAAAGCATTATGGGGGTATTCTAAAATCAAATGAAATTAAGATTTATTTGATTCAACCAACAGGTCTGGTTTTTAAGAAAAGCTAAAACCCCATAAAATCAAATCAGAGCACATCCTGTACCTTCCACTTAGAATCTGCAGTGTTGATATGCCGTTACTGCTGGCTCTTTTTACATTTAAAAGTGACAACAAATCTATATATTACTTATTATTACCAAACATAAGGGTTAAACAGAAACGTGGCAAGGCTTTGTCAAGATTTGCTAATAAGTAATTCACACTCTGCAGTGCAGTCTCTGTCTCTGCCAAGAGCAGGACACTTTATATCATAAAGTAAATACAATAATTAAAAATAAACATTATGTACTAGGTCCTACCGGTTTTTTCGTTTTGTTTTCTGTTAATCATCTCTTTCTGTCAGCCTACAAGCAGAGAAAATCCAGTGTGTTATGACAGGTGTTTTCTAAACTGTAAAAATTGTTAACTGAGATGGAAATGCTCACCAGTGAGGGTGAGGGGCTGACTTAATCAAAAGATATGAGTCTCGATGCCTTGATTTTGCACCAACTAGGCTGCCACAATACTCTTGATGGAACAAGGCTGCAGAGAGAAAAGAAACTGCAGGGGAATCAGATCGAATAAGACCTCCCACTAGCTGAAGCTCATTTTGTCTGGCTGGAATTACAACAAACCCTGCACTGCCACCGAAGAGAAGAAAATGTCAGACATGCCAAACACACTGACAGTGATTATCTGCTGCCAATAAAACATATCACTCTGCAAATCCAATGGAATGCTAAAAGAAATGAAGCTTGCAAAGACTCCAAGAGCAATTTTTGCATTGACCACACACACCCTATTCATAATGCATTTAATGCCTCATTACATACAGAAATGGTATATATATCGCCAAAAAAGGAAAAAAAAAAAACCTCCTTTGTTGATGCAAAACTGCATGGATTAATTTCCATCTAGCTGTGCTCAACATGTGTTCAGAGCCACAGCAAGTAGTAGCTGCTTACATCCAAAATTGTGCCAGTATAAAGGCACAGCCACCCTTATACTACTGCTCCTACACTAGCATCACTGGCTTTATGTCTGTCAGCGCAGGGATTTGCTAAATGTATTGGTTATAAAGAGTTTGTCTGTAAAGTACAAGGAAACACATGGCCCCTTCAAGAAAAACAAGGAGGCTCTATAATCAAGCAAATATGCCTTTAAAATTACGTCAGATAAAATAGCAAAGTTTTATTTTAAACAGCAAGATGTGCTCAATTAAATAAGGCTAAAACACTGAAGCCAGCGTGGCACAAAAGCATGTGTATGTCCTCATAAGAGGAATAGAACACCCTAACACATGGAAAGAAAAAACAGTTTCATGTTTTCATCGTATAAATATGAGATAAGGTATTCTACATCTGTTCTGTTATGAGGATATTAAATCTTTTAGGATGAAACAAAAAGCACAAAACGTTGCATTATGTATTACTAGCTTTGCAGTCACATTTTGATTTTGATATTCACACAAACTTGTTGGTGTGTTTAGCATTTTCCCTCAGGGTACAGGGGGTTTTTGGAATCTTTTCTGTGGAACAGGATTAGACCAACCCAGTGACAAACACAAGCATTTGTATTTGCATTTGTAAAATCTGACTAGTTTCTTGTTTAGGGGAAAGAAATCCTTTTCAAAACCTCTTTTTAAAAGTGCATAATTCCTACTCCTAAAATATATAATTGTTTTTATTTTTATTATTTTGTGCAATTAAGGTTTTAGGATAGAAAGGATCAGAAAGCAAAATTAGTAAAGTTGGTTTGTTAATTAGACAATTATAGATAATTTTCAGTTAATCATATGGATACGAAATTGAAAAAAGGGCCAAACATGAAGTAGTGTGGAATATGTCAAGATCTACAATGAAAGAGAAATAAGTGTTGTTACAGAGAGGGCTGTCTGATTAGCTGAGTATCATCTTGCTAATTAATTCAACACATTACTGATTCATTGCATTTGCATACGTTTTTTTGATATCTGCTTTTCAAAATCATTGGCGTTCATATTGTGTCTTCACAGGCTGCACACAATGCACCCCATATATAGATACTGATGAAGGATGGCTGACAGGTGTATATATATACACTATATTGCCAAAAGTATTTGCTCACCTGCCTTGACTCACATATGAGCTTAAGTGACATCCCGTTCCTAATCCATAGGGTTCAATATGACGTCGGTCCACCCTTTGCAGCTAGAACAGCTTCAACTCTTCTGGGAAGGCTGTCCACAAGGTTTAGGAGTGTGTTTATGGGAATTTTTGACCATTCTTCCAGAAGCGCATTTGTGAGGTCGCACACTGATGTTGGACGAGAAGGCCTGGCTCTCAGTCTCCGCTCTAATTCATCCCAAAGGTGTTCTATCGGGTTGAGGTCAGGACTCTGTGCAGGCCAGTCAAGTTCATCCACACCAGACTCTGTCATCCATGTCTTTATGGACCTTGCTTTGTGCACTGGTGCACAGTCATGTTGGAAGAGGAAGGGGCCAGCTCCAAACTGTTCCCACAAAGTTGGGAGCATGGAATTGTCCAAAATGTCTTGGTATGCTGAAGCATTCAGAGTTCCTTTCACTGGAACTAAGGGGCCAAGCCCAGCTCCTGAAAAACAACCCCACACCATAATCCCCCCTCCACCAAACTTTACACTTGGCACAATGCAGTCAGACAAGTACCGTTCTCCTGGCAACCGCCAAACCCAGACCCGTCCATCAGATTGCCAGATGGAGAAGCGCGATTCGTCACTCCAGAGAACGCGTCTCCACTGCTCTAGAGTCCAGTGGCGGCGTGCTTTACACCACCGCATCCGACGCTTTGCATTGCACTTGGTGATGTATGGCTTGGATGCAGCTGCTCGACCATGGAAACCCATTCCATGAAGCTCTCTGCGCACTGTTCTTGAGCTAATCTGAAGGCCACATGAAGTTTGGAGGTCTGTAGTGATTGACTCTGCAGAAAGTTGGCGACCTCTTCGCACTATGCGCTTCAGCATCCGCTGACCCCGCTCCGTCAGTTTACGTGGCCTACCACTTCGTGGCTGAGTTGCTGTCGTTCCCAAACACTTCCATTTTCTTATAATACAGCTGACAGTTGACTGTGGAATATTTAGGAGCGAGGAAATTTCACGACTGGATTTGTTGCACAGGTGGCATCCTATCACAGTTCCACGCTGGAATTCACTGAGCTCCTGAGAGCGACCCATTCTTTCACAAATGTTTGTAAAAACAGTCTGCATGCCTAGGTGCTTGAATTTATACACCTGTGGCCATGGAAGTGATTGGAACACCTGATTCCAATAATTTGGATGGGTGAGCAAATACTTTTGGCAATATAGTGTATCAATGTTTAAAATGATCATAGATCTTGACTGCTGAAAATCTATTTCTATATGCTTAGCATATACCTAAACAGTAAAAGGATTCAATGCAGCAGGACAAAAATGCAATCTACTTTATCACTAAATTTAAAGAGATGTTTTTATTTTGTTCTCTGCATCCTATCTCTCTATTGTCTGTTGTATCAGATTTTTTAATACTGTTGTTGCCATTGTAACATACTTTAAGTTTTATATTGATCAAGACAATATCTGAGAAAATATTTCCACTATTCTATGGCTACAAAGGTAATAGAACATGGCACTTATTTTAAGTGCAACAATTTTGGAAACCATTCTACTAAAATGTTACCATCAGGTGCTATTTAATAATGATCTCATAAATTATCCTATCTTGTTCTGACACAAAGGAAATTTAAACCATACCCACTCAACCTGTCCACAGAGGTGAAGAAAATATAACAAGGTAGGGACAGCTGTGACATCTTATTAAGAACCGACTATATGAACAGTCCAACACATTTTGTGACATGGTTTGTTGGTCTGTTACTAACTTTTGTTTTTTTCCAAAAACCTAATATTGATCAAGTCCTTGCTTATTTAGTAATTTAAACTTGACCACATTGCTTTTGTCACTTTCATTTATCAAACAATGTTGGAAATGTAAATCTGAAACAGTAATATTGTCCTTTTTTCAGAAATTCTGGGGCATGTTTACAATATTGTGTCACAGAAGGTGTATGGGGGGGATGGCACCTTGTGAAATCGGGCATGAGT